GCATTGGTGAAACGCTGCAGCATCCTCATGCAAGTGCAGAATGAGGTAGGTTTGAAATGTGAAAAGATCTATTTACTACAAGCTTTTTGCCAGAGTGGTCACAGAGGAAATAATACTGGCAACCTAGTGATCCCTGTTACATTTCTGTCAAGGAGAATTGTTGTGTTACTATCTCTGAAAGCTATTGTTTCACTCTGTTTCCACATTTGTGAAGACTATATCCTGCTAATTTCTTCAAGATTGTGTTTGGCGCTATAACGACTACAAATATCTGTTATAAAAATAAAAGTTAAATTTCTGGAACACAGAAATTTAACACAGTTGCAGGTTCTACAGCCTCAGAAATCCAGAACATGGCATCCACATGTTCTACTGGTGAACTTCTGTGAATATGCCTTAGCAGCATTTTTCCTTGTTTTGGTATAGTGTATGTTTTGCAATAAATTATTAAGCCAGAATTCTTAAATGTCCTTACTTTTGGTTGTTCGGCTTTTTTTTTTTACCAAAATATGTGTTTGTTTCCCGTGTGTTCACAAGCGTCACCTACACAAGTGTGTGCTACATCTGATGTTTCCCTGGAGCTCAGCTTCAGCGCTTTGGTGAATTTTTAATATAAAAACTACATTTCTGCCAATTTCTACAACGTAGACTCAGTTGTATTCCAAGAAGAAGAAAAAAAAAAAAAAGAAAACAAAACCAAACCCAAAGCACCCACAAACCTAAACACTTCACTTTGCACCTTGGTGCATTTAACTTTGTGTATTGGCAGTCTTTCACATTCTTAGCCACTGCTTCCGTACCCTCACCACCATGAGGAAGGTGATATCAAACTGATACTTTACTTTTCCATGGAAACTTGTATCAGATGCATTTTTAGAGATGAAATACCATGGTAGGAAAGTGATACAATTTTAGGTATGCAAAACTGTGATCTCTGGAAGGGTAATGCAACAGGGGTCATAAACAGTAATCTAAGTTGCAAAATCTCCCTCCATAGGAATTGATATCTCATTGAAGTAAATTAAAAAGAAAGCCTGAGGGTCTGGCTGCATTGCAGAGACTGTCAGAATACGTAAGTGTGTGAAACTGGTAAGTGAGGGAGTCGATGGCTAAGAAATAAGACGTGGTGCATGGGACTCTGAGCCACGCAGAGATGGGGAGACGCAAGAATACATTTAGAACTGGAATGGAAATGAACCTTCTTTTCACTGGGCCTCTCTTGTGTTACCCACACGTTAGCCTTTAGTCATACTACCTTACATGTCGAATGTGTCTCAGGTGAAGAGGAGGGAGTGAAAAATGGGTATGAAACAGATGAATTAAATTCTTTGGTACTAGTAAATATCACAAACTCTCCTCCTTTTCACAAAGTCATACCAATTACAGTTAAGAAAAACTTTCATGTTGATACTAGGTTGCTAAAAGGGAGACCTAGACTGCTAAATGTAAGCCCTGTACTCACACATTTCCAAAGTCTACATGAAATAAGAGGTTTTTCTGGAGTTGGGATACGTGGAAGGGGATGTAGAAGAGGGAGGAACAAGCCTGGGAAGATGTATGTTAATTCTGATTTTGGCCCCATGAAATTTATCAGGGAAAAGGCAAAACTTGCTGTATTTGAGTGTCCTAATGTGGCTTAATCTTGATTTGAGACTTTAAATCTTCTCTGTAAATCCACCTCATATAGGATAAGCTGTGGTTGCCAGAGTCTAAGTATTGGTAGCATCTCTCCGCATTTTTGGTATTAAAATTCAGGTTGCTTGCGAACATGCTTGATAAAACTCGCTGGATCAACCTGCTGTTCTTCCTTTTGCAGCAGGTCAGGTATGCCCCTTACAGTTTTATCTTGTCAGAGTACATATAGAAATTCTGGAACACCAGAAGGGAAAACGTTAATTCACCTCGATCTGGACCCCTCTACGTGAGGGCCATGTAGGCACTTGGCATCCATCTCTGTCAACTACCGTTTCTTGTGAGTCTGAGTTTCAGTGATGTCATTTGTAGCGAAGGGACGCGGTGCAGACTTATTGCTGAGTTAGTTTGATTGTGTTTGTGCTTAGAAAAGGAGTGTTAGTTGCGGATAATTAATCTCTACGCTTCTACACTGTTTTCAGTAACTTTTCTTCCACCTGGAAATAACATTTTTTTATGTTAACAGAAGTACTGTGTCTGTCTCAGCAAGGTTATGATCGTTATGTTTACTTAGATGAATATGTCTGTGGCTGGTTTTTTTACATTATCCAGGGGTAGCATTAGCTCGGCAGTTAGGTCACTTCCTTGCAGCGCTTAGCTGGTGCCATTTTCTCTTTATTTTTCTCCGTGAAGATATTGTAAGTGGTATTTTAATCTTGATGTTCAAAGGGCATAAGGCAGGCAGTGGCCGCAAGGAAAACCAGTATCACTTGCTCTAATAAAAGATATGTCCGCTTTACCCATTTCGTTGGATATTTGCACGTTATTGTGTGGGGTTTTGTTGTGGGTTTTTTGGGGGTTTTTTTGTAATTTCCCCTCCGTAATTTTTATAATCGCGCACGAGGTGACGACGTAAAAAACCAGCGCAAGGCCCCGGCCCTGAGGCTGCCTGCTGTGTCCGAGTGCCACCACCAGATGGGGCAGGTGACAAGGGGGAGGGAAGGTGGCTTTGCCGAGGGCCGGGCCCGAGGGCCGGGGAGGTGGTTTCGGGGCTGAATGACAGGAACCGGATGGAAGCGTTTCTAGTTAGTTCCTTCCTCGTTTTCTCTGATCGTGTTCTTAATATTACCCTTTGGATCGGTGAAAATAAGGTTTGCTTTGTTTTTTAAACTCTTTGAAAATTATTTAAAACGCCTAAAAATTCTTTTCTGGGAAAAAAACCCCTTTTTTTGTTGAAACGAAATGAATATGTGAAATGCCATAGAACTCCAAAATTTAAATAATTGATTTATGCCAATTGCCTGCCTAGCCCAGTTCAAAAGTATAAAATAAGAAAAGAAAAAAAAAAAGGCTAATACATGAAAGACATTCTTATTTTTTCCTTGAAAAAATAAAATGTATTTAAAGCTAGTAGGTTAGCTTATTTTTCATTCGTTGAAAATTTTACTGGGATTTCCCTCCCCAGAGATTTTAGCTGTAAGTAGAAGTTTTTCTTTGAACTGGTTTAAACTAAGGCCCTCTTTCTTGTCACGCACAGACAGGAAAATATTGCAAGATGCTGGATTAGCTTGTTCGCTTTTCATTGTTTTCTTTTGTAGCAGCAATCCGTTTAGCTATGGTATGCTGAGTTTATCTGATTAGCACTTAATGAGTGAAGGGAATAGGGGAAATGTTGCCTGAGTTACTTAAGCCTAATAAAGTTTTCCGTACCTTCCCCCTCTTTCTAAATACCTGAACTTTCCTGACCCTCACCCCTTGCCTTTTCCATCAATTGCAGCTGGTTCCCATGGGTGGCGCGCTCCCCCTGCAGCTTTAACTGCCAGAAGTAGTGGTGCCGTTAGCCGGGTTTTGTTCAGTGCACATTGGTCACACCAAACATCCTGCTCAGCTGTGTTTGACGGTCCGTCTGGAGCTCGTACAAGTTCAACTACTGTTGTTGTGCTGACTCGCATGCCTTACCTGGGAACACTTGCTGCCTAGAAATGCAACCACCCGTAGCATGAGTATTTCTAACTTGAAACCATTAGGTATAACTGTAAGCAATAAAATAATTTCTCTAGTTATGTTAGCAGTGACATTTTAATGAGGATTCACTGGAACTTGAATAATTACATTGTATAAAGAAATTAAAGAAAGCTGAGGTTTAGTAATGCTTAAAAACTGTGTGCGCCATACAGATTGCGGGTCTGTTACCGTAATTAACTCGGTAAGTTTCTTCCATAACTGTCATGTTTTCCTCTGGACTTCAGCTTGATTTCTCTCTTTAGGATTAATTTCTGTTTTAATTTGATATTGCACTGTAAAATTTTTAATACAAAAGCAAAATTCTGAAAAAATTAGAGAAATCATCTGTATTAGTTTATGCTGCTTAAATATATCTTTGGTGGTTCTGTTAGTTTTATAAAAAAATGCAAAGTTGTCTTAATACCAATGAAAACAGGTCCAGGGAAAGTACAATTGACGTCTGTGCAAGAGATTCCTTATGCATAGTAGGTTCTATAGCCGTTGAAGTAATAAGGAAAAAGCAATAGAACTTTAGGTGGAGTGCCAATAAGACAACAGTGTTGCTTAGGAAATCTGAATCTTTATAGGTAGGGACCTCTGAAAATATTTTCAGTTATACCTGCTTAGTAATACAAAATTTTAATAGAAATTAGCTCAGATTTCTTTTATCACTGTCAGTGTCCCCGGTTTATAACAATAATAGTAATAATAATAATCTTAGCAATAGGCAGCTAGTAATAGCAGTAGTGATCCTGATAGAGCAGAATGTGTGTGTATGTCTTTAAATAATTTTAAAGACATTAAAAGAATGC